CTAGTTTAGAAAATTTATAATAAAAACACAGCTCATGCTGTTCTTTAGAACTCATGGCAAACTTATCAATAGCCTGCAGTATGTTTTTATTTTTCTTTAGCGTGCATGCATGAAGCAATAATCATTAAATTATTCATGATATTTCTGCGTTAGCGAGGATCTCAGCCTTGTCTTAACTGACTTCAATTTCGAGAACTATAGTTTTTCACACGAGCATGCATGCATTGTTTCATCAATAAAATTTTCTTTTGTGAAAAAAATTTCCTAAGACACGCCTACAAGTCGATATTTTAGTGACGATTTGTTTCGCTGACAAATTGTTGGCCGGACTATATAGCTTACAATCGGATGGGACAAGAGTCTTCAAATTGTAAAGTTTTTTTTATTTGTTCAGTATAAAGCATAACGATTTTTTTCTTTATATACAGATCATATTCCGTGCCCGTGTGGTTGGGAGAAAATCATCAACAGATGTTACCTGTTTGTGAACAAAACGGTCACTTGGGACACAGCTCGCGCAGATTGTCTAAAACGTGGCGGAGATCTAGTCATTCCTACCAGTAACAAAGAATGCGATCTTCTCAGTGAGCGTGCTAAAAGCCTTGGAATGAATATTCCGTGGATTGGTGCCCAGAGGTACATGATCTCAATTATGTATAGGGTGTATAAAAAGGGTTATCTAACTTTGACATGTTATCGTGTGATTGCATGTATATATAAATCAGAAAAAAAGTTGTGTAGTGGAAATCGGCCCTAAAATTAAAGTGCACCTAACCTCAATTCTTTTTATCATTTCATTCTAAAGAACCTATTGATTAGGTCAATTTATCTGAGGAGTGCCACATACTGTCGTACGAAACTATTTAGTAATAGAAATGCCTAGTGGATTTTGTTGATTTGTTGTACCTTAATTTAAATATGCTCTGGTTTTCCATTGAACACTTTGCCAAAAGTTTTTACAACCAACAAAACCAAATTTTATATATATATATATATATATATATATATATATATATATATATATATATATATATATATATATATATATATATATATATGTAGCGGTTTTTGAGTTGTCTTCAGACGAGTGTATACCAAACCGGGCAAGCAGAAAACTACTTGACCGCGGCTGGGATTCGAACCCGCGACCTTCGTA